TCGGCATTGAGCTCGGAAAGCTCGGTTTTCAAGGACTTAAGGCGTCCAGAGAGTTTAAATTGCTCCGTTCCCCAAATCCTTTGATTCCAAGCTTGTTGGACCCTCGGTTTGAAATCATTGTGCTCGGCCCACATATTGAAGAACCGCCAAGGTGACCCTTTCCCCCTAATGTGCTCAAATAAGGAGACAACACAAGGAGAGTGGTCAGAAATGCCCGGGGCAAGGAATTTAGCTTGGCAAAAGAGGTCCTCTTGTAGCCATTGGTTGTCCACCATAGCACGATCGAGCTTGGACCATATGGTGTTGTTTGTCCAAGTGTGGAAAAATCCGGTAGATGGGGCATCCACTATGTTATGAGTGTCACAAAATGCGGCGAAGTCCATGGTGTCCCGGTTGGATACGGGCTCCCCATTAATTCTTTCCTCCGGCCGAAGGATCGCATTGAAGTCTCCCATGAGTAACCAAGGCAAATTCACATGCGACTTAGAGCTATCAAGGTCCCTCCAAAGGTGCTTACGCTCCCCTTGACTATGAAGCCCATAAACAAAGCTAACGAAGAATTTATAGTTGCTAACCTTGTTTGTGAGCATAGCCGAAATGGATTGGTAGAGAGTGTCTTCGATTGCTACCTCCACTTTGTCCGGATTCCATAGGATAGCAATGCGTCCATGGTTAGTAATACAAAAGTTGTCACTAAACAACCATCCCGGAAGGCGGTTGTGCACAAAATGCGAGAGACGACGGTGGTCCGTTTTCGTCTCAATAAGTCCCAAAATATCCACATTATTTTTCCGGATGAGGCTAACCACCTCATCTTGTTTTAGGGGCATGTTGAAGCCCCTAATGTTCCAAGTGGAAATGATCATTGTTTGGAGGAGGGGGGTTGGGTCCCCTTCTTCGTTGTGATGAGTTTTGCCGGCTCCTTTCGCATGAGAATTGCCCCCTTCATTTTCAAGAATGTTTTCGGCCCTATTTGGATTGGGCCTCCCCCATGCTTTGTGGATTTCTTCTTTCTTGTCACTAGTTGGAAGGGTTGTTCTTCCGATATCGTGTGTTCGGAATCCGTGTCCTCCTTGTCTTCATGATCGTGTTCACTAATGGGCTTTTTGCCTTCGGCCTTTTCCTGTGTCACCTTGTCCCGGTTAGGAGCATCTTCTAAGGCCTCTTTCTCCGCGGGGGAGGCCTTGTTAGAGGTTTCCGGAGTCACCTTGGGTGCTATGGCCTCTTCCGGTACCTTTGTCTCCTTCTCCTTGGTGACGGGGTGGCATGACTCCATTTGTGCCTTAGCGTTGTCTTTTGCTCGGGATTGTTTTGTTTTTTCGGCTTGGACATTGGGCTTCTTCCCTTTGGTTTCCTCCGGGTAGATGTGGCATCTTTTGGAGGTGTGTCCAATTTGCTTGCAAAGATGGCAGTATGGGGGAACATATTCGTAAACCACTTTTTGGAAGAAGCTATCGCCATCATAAGTTTCAATTTCAATTTCACGATGAAGCTCCTCGGACACATCTAGCTCAACAAGGATTCGAGCAAAGTTGCATCTATCTTTGGTCTCCGTGAGCTTGTCGGTAGAGATTGGCTTCCCAATGATGGAGGCAATCTTTCCTATGGCTTTTGCGTTCCAACATTCAAGGGGTAGGTACGGAAGTTGCACCCACACGGGCACAATTTTAGTGTCATCATCCCCGAACCGGAACAATTTGGGGAGTGTTTTCAACATTAGGGTTCTCCCGTAGATGGTGTAAGGGCCTCCTTCAAGGACGCTATCACGGTCCTCTTTCGTAGTGAATTTGAACAATATCCACCCGTTGACGTCGGGGATATATTCGAACTTGACTTTCCAAGAGTTGCATATTGTCATTAGCGCCTCCCTTCCGGGGTGTCTATGTGTGAAATAGCCCACTAGGCAATATCCCCAAGTCTTATGGACTTCATCAATGTCATCCTTCTCCAAGTGGACTTTGTTTCCGGTTGGCTTGGTGTAGTTTAGCTTGAGGCCGTTGGATGGCTTCCGGTTGTTAGCAAATAACTCATTGAATGGGCGTTTGTGGCGGATGGTGTTGTCATTTGCTTTGTTTCCTTCCTTAGAATCCACTTTTTGCTTGTCCAGATGTTCAGAATTCCTTTGGGAAATTTTGTCGAGCACGTTGCGGGCAGGTTTTGTGGAATGATTGATGGCCTGGACTTGCTTCTCCCTATGCTCCACCTGTTTTGCAGCAGCAGTGCTAACAATATTATCTTCATTTTTTCCTCTGACCTCGTCATTACAATTGTTATTAGTCCCAGTACAATCAGCTTTAGCGAGGTTAAGACTTGCTGCGCTGGACGACCCTGCAGGTGAGATGTTCTTCTCCAGAGAGTTCATTTCATCTTCCATCTCGTGTATCATGTCTTGAACATCACCTTCGTCTGAATTATCAAGCAGCAGCCTTCGAAATTTAGTTCTGTTCTTGGACCTAGGCATTGCAGCGAGAATTAGCTACTCGCAATTACTGTAGCAGCGACCTTACTTCAATGAGCAGTTTGATTTGTGCATCGATTTTAGGGATAGTTTCATCAATGAAGTCGGAATTGGTATGGAAAGATTATTTAGGAGCTCAAGAGAATTGCTGTGCGCTAGGAGAAGATTTCCTAGTGAGAGAATGTCTCGCCTCTCTCTAACACGGCTCTAGATAGAGATCACTTTGATTATAGCAAATGTTGATCAATTGAGAGGACATGAAATA